GACAGGAGCCATGTCTGACTTGCCCAGCACACAGTAGGTTCTCAATTCTCAGCTTTACAATCTCATCCAATTGACACAGAGCCCCGTGAGATAGGTGCTGTGGTCTGCTTTGGCACACAAGGAAACTGAGGCTCAGAGAGGTGAGGGTCCAGGGGCCCAGCTTCCTCCTGTCTGCAGAAGGAGCAGCGAGCCCAGCAGGGGCTCCAGACTCTGCCACCAACATCTGTTTTGCTTCTTTTCTCTGCCCTCCTCTCAGCCAGGGCTGGCAGCCCAGATCCAGACTCAGGAGTCAGGCAGAACTGAGTGTGAGCCCGCCCCCTCCCCTTACTCACCACAGGACTTCAGGCAAAGGACCTTCAACACCCCCGAGCCTCAATTTCTTCTTCTGTGAAATGGGATAACCTAACTTTGCTTGCAGAACTTTTGGAAGAACCGAGCAATCTGAATATCAGGGCGCTGGTCACGTTGCTCTGTAAATTCTGCGCCCTCTCTCTCTCTCTGACTTTGATCCCTTATTTCTCTGAAATTTTTTCCTTCCTGTAAATACTTTGTGGTTTCTCTTCTCAATCTCTGGGTTTTATGCAAGTGATTGAATTTCCGCCTCTCTCTCTCTCTCTCTCTCCCTTTCTCCTTCCTCCTTGGAAGGGCCATTAGACTCCTTACAGACCTGGGGCTCTTATTCCTGGGAAGTGATTATAGGGGATAGCAGAAACTACACAGATGCCAATGCCATCTGCAGAGCATTGTAAATTCTGCGCCCTCTCTCTCTCTCTGACTTTGATCCCTTATTTCTCTGAAATTTTTTCCTTCCTGTAAATACTTTGTGGTTTCTCTTCTCAATCTCTGGGTTTTATGCAAGTGATTGAATTTCCGCCTCTCTCTCTCTCTCTCTCCCTTTCTCCTTCCTCCTTGGAAGGGCCATTAGACTCCTTACAGACCTGGGGCTCTTATTCCTGGGAAGTGATTATAGGGGATAGCAGAAACTACACAGATGCCAATGCCATCTGCAGAGCATGCAAGGAGCGAGGCCGTCTGCGGATCTGGCTGCTGCTCTGCGTCTGTGTGTAGATGCTGCCGGCTGTGCTGAGACGGTTTACACCCTACACCGCATTCACAGGGGCTTATTCTTTCCATTAGGTCTTTATCACAGGCAACCGGTGTGTCCTCTGCTTTCTGGAGCCCATGACCGGTTTTCCTTTAAGAAAGAGACCATCAGACGAGCGAAGTACAGGGACCACTGATCTCCCGAGCTCTTGGTTTCGGGGTGCTCGGAGGCAAGGCAGCCTTGCCCGAGGTCATGGTCAGCCTCCCCCTGCTTGCACACTCCACCGTCCTGTTCCTCGCCTCTGCCTGCTTCCCTTTTGTCTCCAGCATGTGTGTGCGTGCCTTGTCCTCTGTCCCTGCCGCTTCTTTGTCTGGGCTTTTGTGTCCAAACAACAGAGAAGGGGGGCAGGGTGTGTGTTGCTTCCATCCATCTGCAAACAGACCCCTCCAGACACCCTGCACCTGCTCCCAGGCCTCCCAGCCGCTCCAGCAGGTGCTGCGGCCTGGCCAGTCTCTCCCTGCGGCTGCGGGTGGGGGGGGGGGGCGCG